CACCACGCCAAGGAGCCCCCCTTGAAGAGGCCCATACTTCCCAACTTTACTTAATACGTATATGTTAGTGTAAACTTGTTATCTGGCATTTATATGCATTTATATATGGAAAAAATGGAGTTCTGCTTTCCGGCGAAGTCTGCTTTTTGGTAGTAGCCTGGAACCTAACCTGCCGAATAAGTGGGGCCCTACTGTACTAAAGTTAAATTTTTTTTTTTTTCTTTTTGGGCCACCCTGCTTCACTGGGATATGGCCGGTTAGTTGAAAGAATTAAATATTTAAAAGTGTGTAAACCAAATGAGAAGAACTCATACACTATAAATCACTAAAAATACTAGTACTGGGTATCGAGTTTTTAAGCGGTGAACACAAAGGGCTTGGGTGCCCAATTAATTAATATTTATTTTGAAGTGAATATCTATGGACAGTAGGTGGTAGCATCTATGTATGTCAATCTTCTACTCAAAGCCCCTGAGACAACAGAGCACACCCTAAGATATTAAGAACTGTTTTTTTAAATGTCAGTTCAAAACTGTAAATTGCACGGTTATGGAGTTGGACCACTCTTGATCCAACCTGCAGTTAAAGAGTTAAGGTGTCGTGTTTGTGTTTCTGCTGTATAATAATTTCACAGACCAGCAAAAATATGCTCACAGTGTAATGCAGTTTACATTAAGTTTGATGTATTTTAACTTTCATGGTTATATTTCCTACCATTGCAGCTGAATATCTAAAAATTTTGAGAGATATCAGTTATGTGCCCAACACTGCCGGAACTACGTATATTAAAAATCTCCAGAATTTTGTCAAAGTGCAAAATCACAGTTTAGCTATACAAGAACAAAAAAGACTAAAAAAAAGTTTTGGTGACTAAGTGACTTTAGCCAAACTAGTTATACCATGTAAATTCTTAATTTATGTATTAATTGCTATTGATGAGATCTGAGAGGAACAAAAGTGTGCACACTTGTACATATGCATATAAATGAAATATATACAGGAAGGCCCCGCTTTACGGCGTTTCACTTTACGGCGTTCCGCTAATACGGACATTTCAAATTATGACCAAAACTCGCTATACGGCTCCCCCCACCTGACTTTCTAATACGGTCACCGTGCCCCACCCTGTTTGTTTACATTCTCCATGAGCTCAGTAAGCACTAAGTCTCTCCATTTTGTCTGGAAACTCCAAAATTTCAAATGTTTTTAAAAGTTATTTCATATTTTATATATACTCTGATAACTATACTTATGTATACCTGTACCTAAATAAACTTACATACTGTGCTGGCATGCAGGTACACATTAAAATTGGTAAGTGTCTTATGTCTCCAGACGTCATATTAGTAATGATAATAATAATCATCGAGTCATTTAAATGTCGTATATTACGTTAATATACACATTTTCATTAATCCATCCATGATATTTTTTTCAAAATTATATAATAAACACGATGCATAACATATAAATAAGATAAATACACCCCACAGTAGAATAAATAAACATAAATGTGAGATGTGGTAGCAGACGACTTGCACAAGTGACGCCATATTAGAAATGATAATAATAATAATACTCACCGAGTCTCATTAAATGTCGTATATTACGGTAAAATACACATTTTCATTAATCCATCCATGATATTTTTTTCAAAATTATATAATAAACACGATGCATAACATATAAATAAGATAAATACACCCCACAGTAGAATAAATAAACATAAATGTGAGATGTGGTAGCAGACGACTTGCACAAGTGACGCCATATTAGAAATGATAATAACAATACTCACGGAGTCTCATTAAATGTCGTATATTACGTTAATATACACATTTTCATTAATCCATCCATGATATTTTTTTTTAAATTATATAATAAACACGATACATAACATAAAAAGATGATAAATACACCCCACAATAGAATAAATAAACATAAATATAAGATGTGGGAGCCACATAACTTGTACAAGTGACGGCAAGAATAACATTTTCTCTAATCTAAGAGAAAATGTGTTACTGGGGGTAACTGTAGAAAATTATTCCTTTCGTATGTATGTAAGTAAGTTTATTCAGGTATACACAAATACAGTTACATAGATTATCATACATAACAACATACGTGTAGAGAACCTAGGATAACCCAAAAAAGTCAGTGTGACTTATTTCCATTGCCTTCACTCAGAGCTTCATTTCTTCTCAAAATGATGTTACATGAGAATGGGAGTGTTCTTCTTTATTAATTCTACCGTATCAATGTAGAGACAACCTGTAAACAATGTAACTTGTACACAAACCAAATGTGTACACTTCGTTTGTTTACAAAACTTACCTTCGCCTGGTTTGTTTACATAACTCTGCGCCTGCCCCCTCTCATGTACTCATTCTTTCTCTCTCTCATTTATTCGTTTTATCTCATTTACTTACTCCTGACCCTACATTAAGACTACAAATATTTTAAGGTAAGTAATGAGTGAACTGTATATACATTTTATCGCTCTGGGATGCTTAAATATCATAGAATAGTATGTGTGGGTGGGGTGGCCTGGTAAGGTAGCCTGGCTATTACCATACGTACCACACTTGATTTCTTACAATAAATACTACTTGTCTCACCCTAGATTAAGACTATAAATATTTTAAGGTAAGTAATGAGTGCACTATGTGTGTATTGTACTTTTTTATTGTTTTTTGATGCCTGGTTCTATTGCTAACTTAATATATGTTAGTGTAAACTTGTTATCTAGTGTTTGTATGCATTTATAAGTGGAAAAAAAGGGTGTTCCACTTTACGGCGATTTCCGCTTTACGGCGGTAGCCTGGAACCTAACCTGCCGTATAAGTGGGGCCCTCCTGTATGCAAAATTTCTCCAACTTAACATTTTTAATTGGGCACAAGTACAAGATATATCACATGGGGAAGAAATATTTTGTCAGAAGAAAAATGAGAAATTGAAAAATTTTTCATTATATTATAACAAAGTGCAATTTCTGGTCATCTGACTGAGACATTCCACTAGTTTACCAGTCCCTCTTGTAAAAATTAAATATTATATGTGGGCATACTTAATGCAATTTATTTGAGAAGACAAGCATTTTTTACTTAAAAACTTAAGTGAATAGACAAGCCTGAAGAAAAAAAGGGGAATTACAAGGGACATAATAAGCTTCAGCAAAAATTATAATATAAAAATATGATTTGCTATTTGCCAACCACTTCCACTATTGTAGAGAGTAAATTAAATGTGAAACAGAACTTCAAAAACATCTCAACACAAAGTAAAAGAGCAAATAAAAATGTTACAAGTGAAGACTGGCCAAGTCTAACTGGCTTAGTGATCAATGTCAGTAGAAAATTTAAATACATAATGTTTTATTTTCTACTGAGATAAATAACTTTTCAGAGCATTACTTCAACACTTGAAAGACTTTCTCACAAGATAATTTACTGAATCAGATTACAAAATTCTAAGTTCTCGGACACAATAATTTACGGATTTAAAAAATTCAGTCAATACGTATCAAAATATTAAATATATATTAATAAGTAATTAAACTATGCAACCGTAAATGTCAGACAACTTACAGTAATGTAACACCACTGAGAATACAGTGATAATACACCATCACAATTACATTAAAAACTGTATTTGGTCTACATAAAGGAACATTAAATGGGGAGATTCAGCAAACAACTAAGTAATTTTTGGCTCATGATTTTAAGTAGGATTTTTTCTTTCCTAGATAAAAAGTACTGTATTCAAATTTTGTAAAATTACAGGTACATGATAATGTTTTTATAATCCATAATGCATTAAAAGTATATGCTCTCTATAATAAATTTGTGAATTTCTTGTTACATATTTGAACTAACAAATTAAAAAGCAGATCAAATTAATGCCAATACATATAGGTAGTAATCTGCATCGAACCTTTCTATGCTGAAAACGCTAGCATACACTATAGCATTATGACGGCACCAATTGAGCATTAAGTTATATGGCCTAACTAGAAATTTCTTTTGTAACAAATCACTTGACAAACTTGCAGCCAGGATATTTGTCCCTAATATTTCCATACAAATCTAGTAAAAAATAGTTTTTCATGAGGTATTCCAAACCTTTAGCTATTATATAACTTCATATATGATACTATCACATTTTTTGGTCAAGTGCAATATATTACAAAAGTTTAAGTGGAGGTCTTAGCTTTATAAATGACATAAGGTCAATATTGAGCCATTATTTTACCCCAGACATCCCTGAAAGGTCTCTCCTTAACATGCTGGACCTGTGCGTATGTCTTGATGAATTATTCTGGAGAACATGAGATAAAATGGCTGTAGAGGTGATGACATAATTTTCAGACATTTCCTGATACTGCTGTGAAACCAGTGTTGTGCTGCACTATCAATTGCAAAGACATCACTTGAATTTATTAAAAGGTGCCATGGTGATAGTGAAAGCTTCCCTTAACAACTACTTCATACAAGAAAGTAGGTTCTGCTGAAGGATTATCAAATATAATGCTACAAAGTTATTTACACTTCAAGGCAAGCACTTTATTTTAACTCACAAATCTTTAAAGAAAGATTCATTACTTGAGTTCTGCATTACTTGTTAAGAGAAGATTTTAAAAGCAATCATGGGTTGAGAGGATATACTGTAGCTTACAAAAATATTTGTAACGTACCCTTAAAGGTGTTTTGTCTCAAATATACACCATCAGAGCACACAAGTACTGATGCTAATATACTACACTCACTATGTCAAATAAACCTTTTAAAACAATATCCGATATGTAAAGTAATTCTCTTTTTTGTGTTAACAATATTTAGGGAACATGTTACCCCAATAACATGTAATTTGGACAGCTCATCACCACATGGTTGCCACTGCCAATTTTGATCTCTCTTGTGCATATGAACAATTAAAATTGATTTGATGAAAATTGTAATGTTAGGAAACCAATTACTGGTTGGTCACTCCCACCTACGGGAACTCTGAGAGGACATTGGCAGCATCAAATAAAGGAGAATCCAACGAAGGCTTTTGGTCGCTGTAAAGGAATTATATGACCATTCAGACACATGGAATACAAGAAATGAAAATTAAAAATTGACTAGCCTTTACCCTGTGAATTTGCAAGAAAAGCTAATACTTTCAAGCACAGTAATTCTGTAATTCTAAGACACTCAACAAACAGAACGGATCTCATCCACCCTTCTACAGGAAGTCAAAGAACAATATTTAGCACCAAGAACAATAACTTTATATCTGGAATTACAGCAAGTGTTCCAAAAACCAAAGAATAACTATACCAACAGCTCACGCTTTATTTGTATAGAAGATGAGCATGTCCATAATATTTTCCTCAATTAAAATATATTTTGGTTTTGTTTTTCTAACAATGGATATTTTCTAAGAGCAATTAAGAGTGCCGACTGAAAATTAATAATGCAGTTGTAAAGGACCTTTACAAATGACTAAGGGATTTTTACAATACTTGCTTCGCTCAATTACAGTACTGATCAGTTCACTAGGAATGCAAAATTCTGAGTTTCTACTCCTAAGTATTTTTAAAACAGATTCATTAGAGCCTAATGAGGATTTTCCAACAGCAAATGTTGGAGAGAAGAGCTGTGATGGCTAGTAACAGCATATGGAGCAAGTCTTACCACAATCTAACAGTCTCATGACTATTACAATTCTTCTCCACAAATACAACCAAGCATGCAAAATCAAATATGAAGTTACACAATACATAAACATTCAAACATAAATCTATTCCATCTATGTTTGTATATTAACTACAAACAAGATATGTTTTACACAGAAATAATTGACAATGATGGGGTTATTACCTTTCCATTCATGATTATAAAGTGAATCAGATGATTTAAAAAATATAAAAATACAAACAAAATCTAAATATACACACACACACAACACATGCACATATACACACATGCACATACACACACACACACACACACACACACACACACACACACGTCTGCATGCATACACTCTCGCACTCGTCAAAGACAGTTATATTAATTTTAAAATCTTTTAAATTCTTCACATCTACAGTATTACACCTCTTATGACCATTTTCTCTTTTCCATGATGGAATGCCATTTCTCTGCCTGTTATTGTTGGAAACTATACTTAATATTTTAATGAAAAAAAATTGTATAAAAATTTATAAATAATTTTTTACTACAATATCAATGGTATACAAAATGGAAGGCTGTAGAAAAAGAGGTGAGCAATCCTTCAGTCTTGCAGAATTATATAAAGACAACAGATGAGGTACAGCGGAATCTCGGTACTCAAACATAATTCATTCCAGGAGGCTGTTCAAGTGGCGATCTGGTCAAGTACCAAACAAATTTTTCCCAACTAGTTTCTTTTTTTTTTTGGTTAGCTGTTATCACTAATCTTCTTAGGCCCCATGGTGACTTATTTATACAAGTATAGCCTCCCCTCACTTAACAACAGAGTTTCATTTCTAAGACCACATCATTAAACAAATTCAACGCTAAGTGAGGAGCATGCTATAAGTTAGTGGGTTTATGTCAACCATCTTTGATATTGTTTTAATGTCACCTTTGCATCATTTATAACATTTCTGGTATATTTTTAAATGTTTATACAGTAGTGTACTGTATATTGAAATAAACAGAATAGAGGAAATCAGCTCTAATATACATTATTTAAGTATAAATACTTGTCAGAGAGCCCATTGTAAATCCGAGGCATCAGTAAATAAGTATGTTGCTAAGTGAGGAGAGGCTGTTTAAAAAAACACCAAAAAACGGGAAGAAACACAAAATAGTTTACAGTTAAGTTCTGGTAGGTCATGTTTGTTTGGTCAAATGCTGAAGAAATGGTCGACTACTGAGCGACATTTTTACCGAAGAAAGTGTTCGAATACCGAATTATTCGAGCTGGGAGCTGTTCGAGTACTGAGGTTCCACTTTAATCAGTCCCTCAAGCTAGGGGCAGGTATTCAGCACCAAAATTAGCTAGGAATTATGTGAAGATTTGAAGGATAGCATTTGTATGTATTACTGTTATTTTGCCTAAATCATAAATATACACACTATTGCTGTATATATTTATTATTTAGGTTCTTTCAAATACTGTATGTACTGTATTATAGTTTGAAATACAAAAAACTACATTCTGTGAAGGGTTCCATGAGCAAATCGAAGAAGAGCAACCTGTCAGTAGACCATCTAAATGTGAATGACACTACCACATCAACTATAATGATAAATATTATGGCCTCCTGGGAAACATTCCGACTCCTATTCCTTCATCATCAGTGACTTACGAAATGTCACTGAACCAATACTTTTGTCATATCAAATCCACAAAAAACCCACAGATATCAAAGAAATAAATACCCAATATCCTTTGAACACGGGTGTGAATTTATTTAAAAATAATAAGCAAATAAAGGGGCCCAAAATCTAGAGAGCCTACCAAAAATCGTCAAAATTTTTGTTAAAAGAAAGATAAGAGTATAACTCAGAAATCAGTTTTAACCCTTTGACTGTCGCAAGCCCCTTTCTGAAACTGTTATTCTATGTCGCAAAATTTTTGGAAAAAAAAAAAAAATTATTTTTTTCTTATGAAATGACAGGGAATCTTTTCGCGATGGTAATGACACCAAAAGTACGAAATTTGATTGAAAACTCAAGGAATTACACTCCCGCGAAGTTAGCAGTCTCATCGACATATATGCATCGGCGATTTCGCAGACTTTGAGCCCTGTCTTTGGCCAATTTCATTGTTCCAGTTGACCAAACTCATAGCTATTTCTTTAGAACTCCATTTTTTCTATCAACTGAGTAGAAAAACCGCCCATTTACCGATTTGAACTACACAATAAAGTGGTCAGAAATTGGCAATTTGGCCAATTTAATGCAAATTAAAAAAGATGCCAATTTCAAAACAGGGTCCAGAATAAACAATGTAGACATTCTTGGCACTAAAATAACATATCCTCTGTTCATTAGTCATGTCTCTAGGCCCCTCTTATATTACTACCGCTTTCTATTTTAATTTTTTATTCATACAAAAAATACAAAATTTACTGTTATGCATTATTGTAAAAATGGTATAAATAATATCAGTGCACTAGTGAAAGAATATTAGACTCCCCAGTTGACGTGTATTGGACGTGTGGTGTGATTTGCTTACTCCTGAACATTGGTAAAAATCGAACATTTCCGCTACTTTGAGCTCAATTTCCAGATCGCTTTCATCATGAAACTAATAAAAATTTTCTCTATTTCTGTAATATGTTTTCCATTTTATCACGTGAGACCATGAAAATGAGAATACAACAATAAATACTATACAAAAATACACCTCAAAGCCGGCATTATAATAATAAAAAAAAGTCGTTTTTTTTCTCATTACTCACTGTGTGCTGCAGGATTTTTTTTATGTGGTGCACACTGACCACACAGACCCATTCTCTCACAAGTGGGCTTACCAGCTTTCTCCTGCTCGATTTGAAGCCGCTAGAATTTATGCGTATTAATACGTCCGAAACACTGGCTCGTAAGACGTATATATATGACCAAAACAGTCAAAGGGTTAAACTATACAGTGGTCCCTCAATAATCGTCCATAATCCGTTCCTGGAAGTGGGACTATTATCGAACTGGACGATTTTCGAATCAATTTTCCCCATAAGAAATAATGTAAATCCAATTAATTCGTTCCAGACACCCAGAAGTATCAACAACAATTTTTTTTTTTACCTAAAAGATAGATTTACATGCACAAAAGAATGAACATTCAACATGAAAGTTACCTTTATTGAAGGCTGTTGTTGATGAATGGAAGACAGGGAGGAGGAGAGAGGGAAGAGAGGTTATTTGGAAGGGGAATCCCCCCTCCATAAGGACTCTAAGGCCCTAATAAAATGTATAAATGAACATTGGTAATAATGGTAGTTGATGAGTGGAATGGTCTGCCTAGTAGGGTGATCGAAGCTAAAACATTGGGTAGTTTCAAATTTAGGTTGGATAAATACACGACATAGAGGGGTTGGATTTGAGTCGGACTTGCACCTGAGCTTATTGCTTGGATAGCATTTGTTCTGTTAGTGGGTTGGATTTGTGAAGGTCCGGCCTAGTATGGGCCAACAGGCCTATTGCAGTGTTCCTCCTTTCCAATGTTTTAAAAGCTATGGCTTGGGTAGTTTCAAATTTAGGTTGGATAAATACACGAGTGAAAGAGGTTGGATTTGAGTCGGACTTGCACCCGAGTTTATTGCTTGGGTAGCATTTGTTCTGTTAGTGGGTTGGATTTGTGAAGGACCGGCCTAGTATGGGCCAGCAGACCTGTTCCAGTGTTCCTACTTTCTTAAGTTCTTATTTAACATCACACTTACCAGTAAGGGTGATCGAGGCTAGGACCTTGGGTAGCTTCAAGAAGAGATTGGACAAATATACGAGTTGGAGGAGCTGAGTTTGATTTGTGTCATTGGGTACGGGAGTAAATTCTTGGGTAGCTTTGGGTGGAGGTCATTTTGATAAGGACCTGCCTTGTATGGGCCAGTACACCTGCAGTGTTCTTCCATTGTTATGTTTTTACTGGCTATTTGTTTGTGAGGGAGGGATGAGAAGTTTATTGTTGGAGAATATGACACTAATATCAACTCTATGGCTTATTTATCTATCACAATTCAACTAATATGACATAATAAACAATATTAATAACATAGAAACATGGAATATACTCTAGAATGAATAAAATAAGTCATTACGTATGTCACGAGAGGTGTTGTGTTGTGTTGTTGTTGGGTATATAAGGGCCACTGAGTGTAAGCCGTTCATAATGGTGGTGAGGCGGCGGTGGTTTTTGTAGCCCTATATAACTCCAACAACATTGGAGGAGTTGGTAGAATCGCTGAATCACTAAAGGAACCCTCTACCACCATCACTACGACCTTCTACCACTATTACAACTGTTACCACCATCACTACTACCTTCTACCACCATCACTACTACCTACTACCACCATCACTACCA